TAAAAAGGGGCAGAAACAATTAGTCTTAAAATTTTGGATTGAAAACTTTGTAATCTTTGAACAACCCCCCTAACCATCCCTAACCATCCCTAAACATATAAACATATTTTTTACGAGAGTTCGCAACAGCAACTCTCGGAGTGCCGGTATTTTTGAAAAAAAGCCCGTTTGTAAGTATGTTGGTTTCGAATGCAGGGTCGCTGGATTCGAACCCGGAACCTTCACCTTACTGTGATGAGAGCCGTGTCAACGCCTAACCGTTGCGGCCACCGACGCCCCCTCCATATGAACATGTTAACGGTACCATGAAAGCTTGAACAGCTACCATCCAGTGATGGTAGCCCTTAGTAAATCAATACGATGAGCGAGATGTACTTCATCCAGGGAGACCGATGTCAACTGTTAACGTGGTCGCGTGGCCACCTTCAGACTTCTATTTGCATTATTAGTTAATGAGGTGGATGACAGGTTTTGACGAAAGGGTTCGGATGATGAGGCAATTTGGAATGGAACATTTTGTAGCGGGATTGGGCTAGCTCGGTCGCAAGAGGGACATTTAGATCGGTATAGATGGTGTGATTGGCTACATAGAAAGGGGCGTTGACTATTGTTTTGAGGATTTTAGATTGAAGGGATTGGTTGGATTAAGGTTGGAACGCTTGGCAGTCCCGAAAAGTTCAAGTCCGTATGTCCAAATAGGGGCAATGTAAAGTTTTCTTTTGTTTGTTCGTGAGAGTTTTGATCATCTGTCGAGTAGTCGTTTAAGCATGAAAAATCGTATGTTACATTCTGTGCGCTTAAGTCGTGTATGGGGGTTCCACGTCAGTCGTTTGTCCAGGTAGAGTCCGAGGTATCGTACCTGATTAGCAATTGGGCTGGAAACGTTGTTGAGGTATACTGGTGGGATTGATTTGGTTTTGTTGACCTTGATTCTCCACTGACGGAGCCAGCATTCTAGGATGTTTAGGTGATTTTGAAAATTACGGGAAGCTGTGACAGGACTTTTATCAGGAGAAAAGATTGCCGTATCATCGTCAAAGGTGAAGGTGATAGTTTTAGGTTGCGTAAGTAGGTCGTTTGGCTGAGGTTGGACGAGAGGTGTGGTGGGAGTGCGGGAAGGATAAGAGACTGAAGGTGAAGGTGACTGGGTTCCCGCTACCACCTGAGCAAAAGAAATATTTTTGTTGAGATGAGCAGGTTTGGTGCTGGGCTTCGGAGGAAGGATATTTTAAGGGCGACTGGCTAGCTGGGAAGGTTGTAATCTCGTAGACAGGTGGTGACTTCCTTAGACGCTAGAGTTCTTTATGGACATTACAACCTTTGTAATTGGCTGAATGTTGTCCGTTGCATAATGCACAGGTGGCTGGCGTGTCAAGCTTCTTGGTGCAGTCTTGGGTCATGTGCTCTCCAGTAAATTTCACGCATTTGGGTCTTTGCTGACAGTAGGATTTGGTGTGCCGATATTGTTGATAGCATTCGCATTGGACAATTAAACGTTGTTTGTGAGGTTCGTTTTGTGGTGAATTTGTCTTTCCCCACTAGTTGCGATAATGCACTGCACATCATAGCAAAGTTTTTAATGTTCTTCGCCTATATGGGGGTGGTTAGTGCGAGCGGATTTCTGGGGTTGATGATGTCTCCAGGTTATCTCCTGGACCATCGCGACGTAATGGAGCGAGTGGGTTTTTGTAAGCACGCCTGGTGCAGCGGTTAAAACAATTGACGTTTGTTTATCGGAGCTTGGACGGGGAATTTGGTGGTTTGGCATTATTGGTGTCTACGTTCAATGTTTTTGCGGTCATGGCGATCTCCTGATGGTCGAACCTCTGGTCAGGCAAGTGGCATCCCGAGCTTTTTTCGATTTTTCGGGAAAATTTCTAGGCGTACTCATTCTCCTCTTGTTCGAGGCTTTTAAAGTCAATTGGTTGTCTGTGGAGCTTATTATACAAGTTCGATCGCTCACGACTTCACGTAGAATTCAACCCTCTTATTTTCCCATTTATTCCTACGCCGAATCAAGGGCAACACAAAAGAGAGAGAAAATAAAAAGATAAATAAATATAAAAAAGAAAAAACTCGGAACTGTTTACGTATGTGATTGATAACAGATACCACAAATGTTCACATATTTTTTATACAATTTTGTAAATCCAATTATTCATAAAATCGACCAATCGTAACAGCATGTAGGGTCATGAATAAATCGATACAGATTTATTTGTTCACATTTAATATTTTTTGAGAACAATAATCTGTATTTTTTTATTTTGACGAAAGCCGTTATTGAAGATATTATTATTACATTTTTTTTTTTTTTGTAAAATGCGATCGTAAATGGACAGCAAATGAATTACATTAAATAATACATCTATTAAATTTATTTCTGAAAATCTGGATGCACAGTCATGAAACTTGATAAAAAACTTATAATCTTTCATAGAATGCCAATAAATAGAAAATAAACTACGATCAAATAATTGTTATTCTTTTTTAAGCCCTTACTCAAATTAAACTTTTGTAGAGAGAAATTATTTGACTAATGTCGACGCATTTCAGCATTTAGTCGAACGAAAATACAATTTTTATTAACGAACAAGATTAACTTGTCCGAAACAATAGTAGACCTAATAGTTTATTACATTATTACAGTTATTAAAAAAATATGCTCAATTACCATTGATGAGGAAGAAGAAAATAAATATTTATCTCGCGCTTTGGGCCCCTTTGAAAACAAAAAGTACAAACTTTGACGCAATTTGGACCAAAATGAATATATAAGTGGAAATCTAAATATAAAAATACAAAAATAAATTAAATGTACTAAATTAAATAAGCGGCATAAAGGCCTATTATTTTTTTAATTACTGCTTGGTGAGAAAAAGGTTGATTTATTTTATCCAAATAGTGTGTAAATACGTTTTGCACCTGGTGTTTCATCCAATGTTGGATCAGTTCATTTTCAAGTTTAGCATGCTTTTGAGACCTGCTAGTTTGTGATCTGCATCCGGCTTTGGTACTCAATCAGCCTGTTCGTCGCCTTCAATCTCCTCTTTGCCGGCACACACACTAAAGTTACCGGAGTCGAGAGTATTTGAGGCATTCTCAGAGCTCCTTTGAGTTGAACCGCTGCATGATCTTCTGAACGTATGCATTTTTAATCCATTTTTATGCATTTCTTGTACACTTCTGGTATGGATTTCAAATTGGAAAATTGACGGTGCAAGGACTATAGTGAACATTTTTGGCTTTTGACTCCACATTTCTGTCCATGTTCCATTTATGATCCATCTACGTACCACTACAAGAACCCTGTATTATTTTGAGGTTTTTTTTTTGTTCCAAACATGTTTTGTTAATTTTATTTGGAAAAGTATGTCTAAATTTTCTGACGATTTTATATTAGCAGACATTTTTACACTTTTTTATATTTGTTTATTGGACTACACGTATATTTTTAAATAATATTATCTTGTGAAATGACGTTTGGAATAATTTTTTAAATGTTTTTTGAATATATTATATTTGTGATTCAGCTATTTTTCGGTTTGTACCCGTTTGTTTCTTGAAAACCATAGAGCAACAATTGTTATAGATTTAGGTTTTGTATTTTTTCCTCTGGACGTTTCTTCCAGGTCGTTGGTGATCTAGTATCCTGCCCAGATACTAAATCTCTCTGAAGAAACATTTTTTTTTAAAGGAGTGTGAAGACATTCCTCATCATCACAAACATTATAAAATCAATTCAAGCGGTGATCAATGCAAGAGGAGGAACAACTCAGAACTGAATTGAGTATTTTCCTTATTAAATTCATTATTTTTCGTTGTCCGCTTGACCAATTAATACCATTCAATTAAATAAGGTATTTTTTTAGTTGAGATAAAAAGTCAGTGTCATGAGCGAGATTCGAACCCACGACCTTCGGCTTGATACGCCGCTACTCCCCTCGGGCACTAACTTCCCGATAGCCGTGGTAGAGTAGCGGCGTATCAAGCCGACGGTCGTGGGTTCGAATCCCGCTCGTGACACCGACTTTTTCATCTCAACTTACAAAACCTTAATTAATTAAATGGTATTAATTGTTCAAGCGGACCAAGAAAAATAGTGAGTTTAATGAATTAAAATGAGGTAAACTTCACTAAAGCTCACTAAAGCTGGCCATTTCACTTATCGCCGAGAATCAAATAGATTATACGACGAAAAATGGTAAAAAGGAGGGAAAGTCCAAAAGGTGCGGTTGAGATGGGAAGTTAATGCCGGAGAGGATCGAGGTCACGATAGCTCAGGTGGTAGAGCAGCGGCGTATCAAGCCGAAGGTCGTGGGCTCGAATCCCGATCGTGACACTGGCTTTTTTATCTCAACTTAAAAAAAACCTTAATTAATTGAATTTTCCTTATTGTTTCCGTAGAAACATTTTTGGTAAAATTATTTTAATCAGTTTAATTGTCTATTTAACTATATGTTATATTTTTCTAAAATATTTAGTAAACAACAAAAAATAAAAATTGTAACGATTGCAATACTTAGCATAAAAACGAGGGTGGTTTGTCTTCCAGTGTACTTGTAGCAAATGATAAATTTTTTAAATTCATCAAAATCGCAAGCTAGCAATTTTAACTATTTTACGAAAACAACTTAACCCTGACAAAACTACAACAAAACTATACTTTTACGTATATTTTTAAATTCTCGAACAACTTCAACACAAGAATTTTTTTCACATTTTACGCGTTGTTTACGAAAATAGTATAAGAATCCTACAAGTATCGGAAAATCTTCGTCTTACAGTACGAAACTTTCCGGCCCGCGGTTTTGAGATTGTAGGACCCACCCGGTATATAATACGCTTGCATAACAATCCTTTATTTATATGCAGATTCACTACCTCACAATGTGATTTTGTGTCAGACTCATTTTGGATTTATTTAATCAAACCAATTTCGTTTACGTCTACCATCAATCTCATGAAAAAACTCAGAAATTCTATAAGCAAATACTCACTCTGACATGTACCCCCGGAAGTGGAAAGAGCTGTGCGGAGGGCGTGTCACGTGGTACGAATCTGTAAAATTCATGTCCGTCTTTGTACCATTTGACTGAATATAGAGTCTCTCCTTGCAGGTCGAATCTGCACTCAAGTACGGTGCTGTTACCGCGCACTGTGTGCTTGTCGATCCTGACTTCAACCAGCCTTAAACCGTCCACAATTTCTGTAACAAAAAAAACAATTCGATTATTATTTTAAAACTTATTTCTGGGGTTTGCTTGTGTTTAAATTTTTTTTTGCGCCATGCAAGATAGCGTTATGCTTGTCCTTGCATGGAGTTTTACCTAAGAAATTGTTCTACATTTTGTATAACTTACAATTACTTAAGGTTGTTAGTTGTGATAAAAAAATTAATGGCACGAGCGGGATTCGAACCCACGATCTTCGGCTTGACAAGCCGCTGCTCTACCACTTGAGCTATCGTGACTTCGATCCACTCGGACACTAACTTCCCATCTCAACCCCACCTTTTGAATTTTGAAAAATGGCAAAAAGAAGGGAAAATTCAAAAGGGGTAGAGATGGGAAGTTAGTGTCCGAGTGGATCGAAGTCACGATAGCTCAAGTGGTAGAGCAGCGGCCTATTTAGCCGAAGATCGTGGGTTCGAATCCCGCTCGTGCCATTAACTTTTTTATCACAACTAAAAACCTTAATTAATTGTAAGATAATACTTGGTCAAGCGGACCACCAAACTAGTGAATTTTATATAACCACATTATCTTTAGTGGTCTGATTGACCAAACTACTTTTCTCAATTAATTAATTTTTTATGTAACGTTTTGGTTGAAAAAAAAATATTGCACGGGCGGGATTCGAACCCACGACCTTTGGCTCAATACGCCGCTTATCTAACCACTTGAGCTATCGTGACTTCAGCGGCGTATTGAGCCGAAGATCGTGGGTTCGAATCCCGACCGTGAGAAATTTTTTTTTTCAACCAAAACGTTACATAAAAAATTAATTTTATGTAACATTTGTCCAAATTTGGTATAAAGCTTTAACCTACATTTTATGTTCTGTTGACATAGTTTAATATAATGGCAATTAACACTAGTTTTTATACATAGTCTACACTTACTACAAGTGCATATACTATTATGCATATAAGTGTAGTAGTTTTTTCGAAACGTAAGTACGTAATATTTAAATATTTACGTTATCATCAATTAATAATGAAATAAATCTCATATATCCAACTCTTTCACTAAGTCTCAACTTGCAAGAGCGCCGAGCAGTTTGAATATTTATATCGACAAATAGAACAAAATTGCACGTAGCCAACTTAACTAAATTGAATTCTTTTCTATTTGGCTTAACTCTGCTTAGAGCTTTATAGAACTCATCCTTCTTTATAAACTTATATGGATGCAGTTTCTTTTCCCTATGTGTTGGTGTAATTTTGTTAATCCCGGTTAAGAGTTAAATAAAACTTTTTTACCATTATTCAGACAAGCGTGTTACTTCAACATACAAGATTTTGCGAATAGAAAACTTGTAAGATGTACATCATAATTATTTCAAAATTTACAAGGTTGGCGTAATGAATATCTTCCCAACAAAAGAGTTTTTTTTTCATTAAAAAATATAGTAATATTAACACCATTAACAACATGCAGACTTGACATATTAATATTGGTGTCAACAACTCCCTAAAAAAGGCATTATATTCCTCATATACCTCTACAATTGTATACTCCGCACTACCCATTTTCCCTTACTTTAGAAATATTCTAACACCATCCTCTTCCTGAAACCTGGCAAACCAGCTCAAAAATCCTCATCTTATCGACCAATTAGTTTACTTCCCATCATATCCAAAGTATTTGAAAAAATTCTCCTTAAAAGGCTATTGCCACAATAAAGTCTAACCTCCTCCCCGATCATCAGTTTGGCTTCCGCCCCCACCATTCCAATGTCCAGCAGGTGTTTCGCGTTGTTGACCGTATATCCTCCTCCCTCGAGCGCAATGAATATTGTGTGGGAGCTTTCCTTGATGCGGCCCAAGCGTGTGTGGCACAGGCGACTCCTGTACAAATTAAAGCGTGTCCTTCCAAATACTCTTTACCTAATCCTCCGCTCTTATATAACAGAGCGTTTCTTTCGGGTCCCGGGAATACCGCAGGGCAGTGTGCCCGGACCAATCCTCTTCATCCTTTACACTACAGATATTCCCTCTAAACCTACCACCCCCCTTGCATCCTTCGCCGATGATACCGCCGCACTATCCTCCAATTCCGATCCTGCAGTTGCTTCGGAAGATCTGCAGGAACATATCTCATTTATAGCAGAGACGTGGAATCAACATACACGACTGACACGACAAAACCTAAACAGACGGTATGGTCTACTCCACAGACTTATAGGACGACAGTCTAAACTATCGACAAAAAACAAACTTACAATTTACAAAACACTACTACAACCTATTTGGACGTACGGAATAGAACTGTGGGGAACCGCTAAACCTTCCAATATCAAACGTCTCCAATCATTTCAATCTAAAGTCCTCAGATCCATTGTAAATGCTGCTTATTATGTCTCAAATGCTACCCTGCACAACGACCTTCAAATTCCTTATATCCAAAAATTTATTCCCCAAAAATTTACCAAGTTTCACAAAAAACTCTCCCACCATCCAAATAGTCTTGCCCAAGAACCCATCCATACAACCCCATAAGGCGTCTTAAGAGGAAATGGCCCCGCGATTTCCCTTCCGAGTAAACTGTAAAAAAAGTGAAGAGGGAGGATAACATTAATTATTTTCTCCCCTCCATGTAAATAGTTGTACATAAGTTCATGTATCCGCAAATAACATATTGTAAATAATTAATAATAATACAGATTGTAATAAAAATAAATAATAATAATAATAATATTGGTGTAATTATAAAGAAATAACCAAATACACGAACGAAAATATGTGGTCACAACGATGCTGTTTGGGTAACACACACGTAATATTTTGGGACGTTTATACATTGTTTATTTATATGCTTTATAACCTGAGTACATGATTAAATGTCAAAACTGTCATGGTGGATTTACTAAATAAAATGTAGTTCACTGCCACCAGAACGGGATTTCTATCTCGACGTTTTCCAGAGATATTAAGGTTTTTCTGATTTTAGTCTAAAATTCATTAAAATACAAAAATGATCTTTTATTTTGCAAACTACATCAAATTTTTTATAAAATAACAACATTGCCGTTGAAAAATTTGCGCTTCCGAATACACAGAACCGCTCAAAGAATAACAAATGGCAAAACCCATTTTTTTTTTTTTTGGAAATACTCAGTGGCTCAATGCCTTTCCATCAAAAATTTTGGGTATTACAACAAAGTTGCCTTATTTTATGTCTTCTAAAAACATTTTGTAGAAATTTTCTAGTGAAAACTCCTTTGCAAGGCTGAAAAACGTGTTATAGAACCCAAGAACAGCTGAACACAAGAACATAGTACATGTGATATTTTGATGAATTGTTAGTAACAAAAATTACATACATTCTTCTCGTGGAATGGCCAGAAGTATTTGACCTCACTAGATTTTTACATATGGGGAAATCTGAAAATTGTACAGCACACCATCGATACGAGGGAACAGCTCTTAGAGGAAATTGAAATCACGTGCAATGACATGAAGGAAAATATAAGAAGTCCTCCATGAAGTCAAGTCGGTTGTTCTACATTTACGCTTGTGTATCCAACGATTTTTGAAAAGAATGGATCTGGTTTTTGACACCACTGATAAATGTTTTCATTAAAATATAATAAGTACGATGTTAGGTAAAAATGAGTATATCCTTGGAGGACTTATAAAATAAGGCAACTTTGATAAAATGTCCGAAAACTTTAATAGAAAAGTCATTTTAGGAGCCACAAGTGAGTATTTCCAAAAAAAACCATGGGTTTTAGAATTTTTTATTCTTTCAGATATCTGTAAGCGCAAATTTTTCAAAATAAATCTTTTTATTTTTTTATTTTTGTATTTTACAATGGAAATGTTAACTTCTGAACAATTTAATGTAGTTTGCGAAATTTGTTCTTTAATAATCCTAAAGCTGAGAAATTACGATTTTACGTTAAAAAATTGATATTAGCCTACAATGACAAAAATTTCAATACGTCAGGAAAGAGTGAAGCTAGAAATCTCGTTCTGGCCTGAACTACGTTTTATTTAGTAAATCTACTAGTATTGACAATTAACCCTGTGACATCAAGGTGTTCAAGGTGGTATAGATGGAGGTTGCAACGGTTAAGGTCACAAGGGATCACCATTGGAAGGAAACATCCCAGGTTCGAATCTCGAGGCACTGCATTCGTCGAGCCACATCCTTCTCAAATGTATTTTATTTCTCAAAAACACCTGCACCTTGACAAACATTTACAAAAAGTATACAGTATGTAGCTAATTATAAGTAGTTTTATACAGTTTATTATTTATTTATTTTTAGAGATAAAATTTTGTATAAATTTAAGTTTCACGAAGATAAATCGTAGTTCTATATGATGAAAAATCCTTTCTGTACGGATGTATGATAAAAGGCGTTAGGGACGCTTTGAAAATATTTTTTCTCGTGAAAGATAAAGAACGACAGGGAATGGGACAAGAAATACAAAGCCTTAATCGAAAATAATCCATGGCGCGCAGCTCGAGAGACTGTTGGATTTTAGGCCTTTCCAGCCTATTGTTATTTCAACATCAAAGAAAGTCAAGTAACGCAATGCTTCAGCTTTGGGAATTTTTAAAAGAAAATCAGTTTGTGTTTGTGATTCGTTTTCAAAGCAATAATGATAATTTGATTGCGGTCGGTATGGGCAGAGACCAAAGAAATACTAAATGAACTGTACAGTCAATTAATTATTTTAGTATAACAATAATCCAGATATTTTATTATGCCTTATCGGTCATTTAATACACACTACATTTTATAACTGGGAAAAATAAAACCAACAATTGGTATTTTTTTAAGCTTGACACAATTAAACAACAAAATAAATAGTAAAAATATAGCAGGATATTTTAATTTAAAGTTATTTTTACATCTAGAAATAGGCGTGAAATGATGAACTCCAAAAACCAGAAAGTCGCCAAGATCAGCCTTGTAATGTGTTTATTATTTATTTCTAATGCACTTCGGCCTGTGGCACAGGTGCCAATTCACG